TCTCCAATGTCAACAAAAAGGTTGTGAAATATGTAAAAAAAGTGGTTGAGTAGAAATTGCGGGAGCGGGTTTAATTCACCCCCAAGTTTTACAAAATTGCGGCTTTGATACCAAAATTTATTCGGGTTTCGCTTTTGCTTTTGGTTTAGAACGTTTACTAATGATTAAGTATGGGATTGAAGATATTCGCCATTTTTATTTAAATGATATTCGCTTTTTACACCAATTTAGGTGATAAAAAAGTATTAACATTATTTCTTTTTGCCAAATAATTTAATAATTAAAAAGGAAAATCCGACCAAAATTAAGGAAATACTAACTCCTTTCAAAATTCCTTTTCATTGATTTTTAGTTTCTTTTTCCAAGTTTAATTTATCATTCTTGCTTACGGCACCTAGTCTAGCACTACATGCGGAACAATATTTATCAGTGGAGATAACTTTTTTAATTCCACAATTAGGACAAAATTTTTCCCTATATTCCGGGTCAGCGGGGAATTTTTGGTTAGATTCGGCTGATTCTTGGAAATATTTGGTTACTCTTTCGTTGTATTCCTTAATTTTTTGGTTATAATTTTTAATTCTCTCATCATAATCTTCCATCTTTTTTAGATATTCGGCTCATTTTTCTTGGTAGATTTTTCATTTCTCAGTTGGCTTTGGTTTGCCAAATGGTCTGGTAGGTTTTGGGGGTTTAATTGGTTTTGTTGGTTTAAGAGGTTTACCGGGTCAATCGCGGGTAACTTTTACTGGTTTAAGAGGTTTTAAATGCTCTGCATGGCAATCATCTCCATATCATTCGCGTAATATAACTCATAATTTTTTCTTTAATTCGGAATTATGGATAATAAATTTTTCCGCTTTTCCTCAATATTCGGTTTCTACATTAGGAGAATAAGTATAATCCTTATCCGCTTTAAATTTATGAATTATTTCCTTAATTTCTTGGATTTCTTCAGAATCACCTCGATAGGCAAATCAGTCAACTTTTCCCTTTTCTTCTCAACTATAACCAATAATATATAACCCTACCCAAATTAAATGTTATATTCTTGTTGATTAGGTACACTAATATTTTTAAGTTTTTCTTTTAATTCTAATCTAAATTGCTCTCGGCGAGTTTCAACTTCCATCCTGTGAGGATTGTTTTTGTCTAATGATTGAAAAATACTCTCTAAACAATCCACTTTAGCAAAGGCATGGCGGAAGAGTTCAATAAAGTTTTTTTGCTGTAAGTTGGCTATTGCTTTATCAATGGCTAACTCTAGCTCTCCAAAAGTTCTTGGTCGTTGTTTTTCTACACTTTGGCGAATAATGTTAAAGCACATCTCTACAGGATTTAGTTCAGGTGTGTAAGGAACCGAATAAACAGGTTCAATATTCTTGCTTTCTAGTAGTTCTCTAACAGTAGGCAAGCCTAATTTTAAACAAGAATTCTTGGCATGGTGAACCTTGGCGTTGTCTAGAAAAAGATAATGCTTTTCCTGACTAGAGAGATTAATCCCAATCAAGAAATCATGAAAAGATTGAGTTTTAAGCCCTCCTTTAATTAGTTCATAGTGAATTACTCCTTGACTTTCCAAAAACTGGATACATAGAATTAGACTATGATTAACTCCTTTATTGCCTGGTCTTTGGGAAATTGCTCTAGTTCCTTTTAAAGAATAACCTCTCCTCGGTGCTTCATTCAAATGAAAAGAACACTCATCAAGGGCTAAAAGTTTACTGGGAGCTGTTCCTGCGGGAAAGTATCTTTTAATCCAATTACTAAACTTTCAAACTTCCGTAGCCATTTTGTGCTTTTTTCTTTCCGAATATTGGTAAGTAAGTTTCTTATAAGTGATGTTAGAGTTTTGGAG